TATTGCTGATCCTGATTTTCATGTTTGAGTGAAATTGAACAAATGAGGTTCTTCTCTAGGTACCTGTCTCAAACATAAAATGGACAGAGACATTTGTAATGGCTTAACTTTGTGGTCTCTTCAATAGGGAAAGGGAAGGTGCTCTGAAATTAAGAGATAATTTGTGCTTCGACAGGAGTTTAATCTGACTGGAGCCTAGCTTTGCTTAACATAATAGCTAACTCAGCTCTGGCAACCATTGCTCCCACTGTTCTTGGATTCCAAACTGAGATAAACATATGCTAACATTGCCTGTTTCTTCTCCTTCAGCTTTCTTGTCTAGTTCCACTTAGCAATCTTTGCCACTCATTGCCTTTTCATTTTGAGTTGCCGTTTGAGCAAGTTTACTGAGTTAAAATGCAAGGATTAAGCTGTGTTAGCTGACTTCTCCAGCCCTCTGTGTGATGTCACTAGCTCATCACCATACTCTGCACTTTACCTTCTGGATCTTATCCTTCTTTTTGCCATTTTACCACACCCTTCATAAACAGTTATGTGTTCTTTCTTCCCCACTGTATATGGAACAGAAGCAGAAAACCAGATGTACTTGCACATATTATAGAAGAGCAATGCAGGGCCACACCTTTAAGCCATGGCATCTTTTTGTTTTTAGGATTTAGAATTGCATTGGATATAATATAACCTTTAAGTTCATGAGTTTACACTGCAGATCAATAGATGTAAGCTACAGGATATCCAGTGTATTCCTGTAATTGTTCTGTACTTCAAGCTTTTTTTTAAAAAAAAAAACTATATCCTGCAAAGTTTTCTTGACCAAGAAAAAACTGCAGATGCTTGCATATGCCTGGCCTAGATTGAGCAATGTGATTCATTTAAGATGATTAATCCTTAGGTGAACTGTACTACTGTATTTAATGAGAGCCTGATGTTCACAGTATTGTTCAGTAACAAGATCAGCCATGCTGAGAGTGAAGTCTAATGGGATTAAATAACTGGTAAATGGATGATGCAACTCTAAAATCTCTTTAACTGCAGAGATATCATGCCTGCATACAAACAGTATACAGTATTTTTAAAAGTGATATCTGAATTTGTTTTATTTTGAGTTATTTTCCCAGAGGATCAAAAGTACTTTGCCGTACTTTTTGAACCACAAAGGAGCCAGTTTGCCAGACTTCCTTACGCTAGTGCAAGCATGAAAAGGTGTCTCTGGGGTCATTTACTCCTTCTAACTTAACCACTTGTTCACCAAGTGAGGCTGCTGCCAGATTGCTAACTTGGGTGGGTGCACCTAGTCTTCTAGTATTAGTGCACAGTGTTCTAATTAGTTGGTGACCCATCAGTAGGACAGATCCAGGGGTGTAATTCTGTTGACAGTAAACTAATCCAAAACCAGAGCTTATTATCTTGCAATTTTGCACCTGTCCCTGTTGATTTCAGTTTTGTGTACACTAGCCTATGCGGTTCATTTTTTCACTATTCTCCTGTGAATTTTTCTCCAGGTAGCAGGATGTTAAAAGTGAACTACATATTTTCCTCTTTAGCGGCGTAAGTGGCACAGAAACAACTGTTTTTGAAACCTCAGAGGAGGACTGGTGGAGGAGAGCTGATGGATAATAGCTGCTTTTAAAATATCTTTAAAACATCATTGTCGTGCTAAATGTAGAATGAACAAAGCACCCCAAATCTGTGTAGCTGCATTTTTTTAAATTTTGTCAGGGGCTCAAGAGGGAAAACACCTTTTTCCCATCCACTGTCTGCCAGTCTACCCATAGTTAGATGTGTGAAGGTTGGTTGGGATTTCCTTGCTGGTGCAGAAAAAACATGCCCGGTATGCTGTAATATCCTTTGTGGGTCATTCTCTCCCCCCTCCCCATTTTAAAGGCTGAACAACTGTAGGCAAGCTGCTTTCATAGGCTCAGTTCTTTAAAAATTAACTTCAGGCTATATCTTATCTTACCGTGAAGAAAGGGGACTTCCATGTTTTAAATGATCTTGTAACTTTCCAAACCTCAAATTGTCCACAGTTTTAACATTCCATATACAATGCTTTCTTGGGTATACAGATTACCTCTGTCTGCAGTAACAATTCAGAGACTTTATCTATGGAGAGGATTTAATTGAGGATTATGCAGCAGAAAATTGTGGAGTATCAAAGGAGAATCAGTGGTTGTATATGTGCAACTAGACTGGCATATGAAATAGTTTTAGCTTCTTTGGCTGTAATTTCAAACAAGTGCAAAATTATTGTGAAAATAGCAATGGGAGGTTTCATGCTGACACATCCCCGAAGACCTGTGTTATGGGTTTGCAGAGGTAGTTGAGGATTATGCAGCAGAAAATTGTGGAGTATCAAAGGAGAATCAGTGGTTGTATATGTGCAACTAGACTGGCATATGAAATAGTTTTAGCTTCTTTGGCTGTAATTTCAAACAAGTGCAAAATTATTGTGAAAATAGCAATGGGAGGTTTCATGCTGACACATCCCTGAAGACCTGTGTCATGGGTTTGCAGAGGTAGTCTACACAATGCAGGAGAAAGAAAAGCTGAGACTTTGGTAGTTTACCACATCACATTGTGTAAAAGGTCTTTTGGGGTCTGAGAATATCTTGCATTCCTTTTACAAGTCTCGGCTGAATTCTAACAAGTTGTGAACATGTAGGAAAGTACAAAGAAAAGGTGACGACATGCACAATTTGCATATAGATCTTTCATTAGTTTGTAATTCAAGCTTACTTTTGAAAAGTAGGCAAAATTCAACAAAAGATCTTGGTAGGTTCTTAGATTGGTTTTGCTTATGTAGCCTAAGGGCTCTTAGTTGCCGCTGTTTGACTATTTCACATTCTTGATCAAACCAGCTTTTATACATTTGTCTCCTTCTGGAATTGATCTTCCATTCTTAGTGAAGAAAGGTCTTAAGGTATTAATTAATTGGCTGTGTAGTGTCCAAGCAGTGATAATGCCTTGGGTTGCCAAAATTCCTCTCCTCAACTCAAGCATCAGGTTTCTGGGTCAGAATTTGTTGTATTTCAAGCTGAAGTGTAAAGCACCATTATTTCAGTCTCATGTCCCTTGTCGCTGTCATGTGATGTATTGGAACGGAACCACCTACCTTGCTGTTTAATGAAACATTGGGAAGGCAGACATAAAATATAAGAGATTGATTGTCACTTTCTGGTTGTGACCCCACTGTAAAATATAAAAGATTGTTTGATAAAGGGGGAGTAATTGCTACAAAATCAATTGAAATGAAATACATGAATTTCCCATGCTTATCACCTTCAGAATTACCATTTAGTATTATTAGTTTAAATGTATCGCTTAGCAGCCAAAATATGTCCCCTATTTATTCATAAGGGAATCTTCTGTTTTTCTCAACTAGGCTGATGAGCTATTCTTTCTAAATTTTATTATGCATGGCCAAATCATACATTCCTCACTTCAGCTGGTATAGACAGGATTTTAGATGTGACAGCATGTTTATTCAGATATATTATGATGTATACAGTACTCTGTTCAGTGGAGGATACTCCCAAGTATGGGTGGTTAGGCTTAAACCTCAGGTTTTGAGGCAGTTGCATGTTGGATTTGTATTACAGTAGCTGCATTGAGCTTTCTTATTAAGAGACTGCTTGCTCATCTTTTAGGTAGATAGATAGATTTGTTTGTATATCTATCCGTCTATCAGTCTATCTGCTGAGCCACTTCAAAAGTGGACATCTCATGCATTTTTTCTTGGAGTTAGATGCAAGTAGGCACCATAGTGCCTATGGTGTGAGAATGGTTTGGACCTTAGGGAAAAAAAATTACAGGAATTACACAGTTGCTATTGTATATGTAGGTTAGGTTTTGATACACACACAAAAATTGGTGTGGTTCATTAAATACATATCATCTTTCCTCCTTCCAAAAGTAATGGAAAGACCCTTCATATCCAATGAGTCACGCTTTATGCTTAATGCACAACTATGAATCTCTCATGTGACATGATTTGCATGGTGCCAGTCTGGGGTAGGGTATCCCTTCCACTTTGTGCACAGCAGGAAAGGAAGCTGAACACGTTCCATATGCGTTGCCTCCGACGCATTTTTGGTATCACTTGGCAGGATAAAGTTCCAAACAGAGTAGTCCTAGAATGAGCTGGAATTTTTAGCATATATACATTACTGAAACAGAGACGTCTACGTTGGCTTGGGCATGTCGTGCGAATGGCTGATGGTCGGATTCCAAAAGATCTCTTGTATGGAGAATTAGTGAAGTTAAATCGCCCCAGAGGTAGAACGCAGCTTCGATACAAGGACATCTGCAAGCGGGATCTGAAGGCCTTAGGAATGGATCTCAACAGATGGGAAATCTTGACATCTGAGCGTTCAGCCTGGAGGCAGGCAGTGCATCATGGCCTCTCCCAATTTGAAGAGACCCTCATCCAGCAGGCTGAGGCAAAGAGGCAGTTACGAAAGCAGCCAAATCAGGGAGCTGGACAGGGGACAGATTGTCACTCTCGAATTGCCTTCTCAGCCACACTCGACGCTGTTCCAAGTCCTCGATACAGAGCACGATACCATAGTCTTTCGAGACAGAAGGATGCCATCGGCCCTGCCTTGTTCATGAAATATTATTAGGCAGCTGAGGGAGGTTGTTGTCATTTTCTGCTAATAATTCTGCATTTTCTCAGTGGTAGTTCTGTCTTTTTCCTGCCTTCCTCCCTATATCCATAAGAAGAAAAGGTGGAATAGCGGCAGAATCTGGGGGGAGGGAGGGATGAATATGACTCTCCAGATGTTTCTCCCAATAATGCAGCCTTAGGATCAGATGGTAATTCCCCCAGTGATCTTTGAAATCATGTAACCTTGGCTCATTCATCTGTTTCCACCTAAGCCATTTGTTTTACAATTTTAACCATTTAATGAAGTAACAAGGTAACCAATGATCTTTGTAGCCCTGAACACAGAAACTTTGCCTAGAGTGGATGTAACTTGAAGATACCTTGTGTTTTACAGGTGGAAGAGTTAAAACATGGAAAAGGAGGTGGTTTATTCTGACAGATAACTGCCTGTATTACTTTGAATACACAACAGTGAGTATACTGTATTGTAAATCGCAGTATCTATACTTACACTCCCAAATTATTTAAGAAATAACTATCTTTCTTGGACTTGTAGGACAAAGAACCCAGAGGAATTATACCGTTGGAAAACCTCAGCATAAGAGAAGTGGAGGATCCAAGAAAGCCAGTAAGGCCTTCTCTTTGGTGAAACACATTTCAAATGAAGATGAGCCACCAAAGAGCGTAGCTTTGATCTTAGTCACTTTCTGTTTATTCAGTTGAACTCGCCTTTGCCAATCTGTTATCTCTGGATGTGTTTTACTACACCTCCCAGGTTTCCCAATGATGGGATACTGAGGGTTGTGGTCCAGCACATGTTGTGGGGTATGCAGTTGGAGATGGCTGGTCTGGACTGGGATGTAAGGGAGGCATCCGTGGATTGTGCCCTTAATATCATGTCATCATCCATGAAATGTGTGGTAACACCAAACTTTTAGAAACACCATTCATTTCATGTAATTCTTTTGTATTTAGCAACTCTAAAGGTCCACTAAAATTACAGGTGTGCAGTAAGGAGACTCTGAGCAGTGCAGACTATACAGAATAAGAGAAACCACATGAAACAGAAAAGCCCCAGAGTTGCTCTGATGTAAATAAACATAAGCTAGCTCAAAAACAGTATGCACCCCATGAATCTCTGGCCTTTTAAGACTGGTTCAAAACTCTGTAGTGTCCATGTGTGACATTAGAGAGGGATAAGCCACAACTGTGGAATCCCTTCAGGTGGAGAGCACTAATTTCTCTCACTTTCCATCTTCCAATGAACAGTAGTGGCTTTTGAAAATCCAGAGCTTAAATTCATTAACTTTTTAATAAGTTAGTTGCTGTTTTATGGTTTTACCAATGTTTGATAATTGCATTTCGTTTTTAATGGCTGTGAATGCATATATGAACCCAGTATGGTGTAGTGAATAGAATTGACGGCATAAGCATCAGGAGACCTGGATTCAGTCATGAAAGCTCACTCAGGGTGTTGGGGGTTGGCACTGGTAAAACCACTCCTTAAATACCTCACTTTTTTTTGAAAGCCCTATTAATGTTGCTATAAATCAGCATATAATTTAACAGCACCTAACACAGAGATATAATTATACAGTGTTGCTTTGTTATGTAATGTGTTTTTTAAAACTGTAATTTGATTTCGTTATTACTTTAATAGAAGAGCAGTAAATAAATATTAAAGACACTAAACTGAACAGTTAAGCACCTACTGCAAGTTTGCTTCGGAAATGTAAGAGCTTGAGATGGACCAGAGGGGGCAGGGTGGGATTTTTTATATATATTTACCTGCAAGGTTGGTGAAATAAGTGATAATTCTACTATGTAAATGCTTTTTTCCTTTGGACTCTAGAATTGTTTTGAGCTGTACAATCCCAGCCACAAAGGACAGGTCATTAAAGCCTGTAAGACAGAAGCTGATGGCAGAGTAGTAGAAGGCAACCATGTGGTTTATAGAATATCTGCCCCCACTCCTGAAGAAAAAGAAGAGTGGATCAAATCAATCAAGTGAGTTCTCCTTAATCTACATATGCAGTGTCCAAGATGGGCTACCTAAATATGTAGGTCAATTGCAACATAGCTTGAAGACTCCCTGTCTTGGCTTTATGGCACTGTGCCTTCCAACCCATCCCAGTTTTCCTTGTGTTTCCTGAACCATGAAATCTGCTGCCCACACTGTTTGTTGAGTCTACCTGATTAAATCATTTGTGTGTAGGTTACCTCTACTCAATGCCCTGGACCTTCTTTTTTCCTTCACAGTCCAAAAAGAAGGGAACACTATTAAAAGACAGCATATTCAAAACTGATTTTGAAAAATACTTAGGTTTATAAACCAAAAATACATATAGATATACAATATATTATAGAGTAGAGACATGGTGGCACTGCGGGTAAACCCCAGAAGCCTCTGTGCTGCAAGGTCAGAAAACCTGCAGTCGTAAGATCGAATCCATGCGACGGAATGAGCTCCTGTCGCTTCTCCCAGTTCCCGCCAACCTAGTGGTTCGAAAGCATGCAAAAATGCGAGTAGATAAATAGGTCCCCTCCCGCCAACCTAGCAGTTCGAAAGCATGCAAATGCAAGTAGATCAGTAGGGACCCCCTCGGTGGGAAGGTAACAGCGTTCCGTCTCTAAGTCACACTGGCCATGTGACTACGAAAGATTGTCTTCGAACAAAAACGCTGGCTCTATGGCTTGGAAACGGGGATGAGCACCGCCCCCTAGAGTCAAACACGACTGGACAAAAAATTGTCAAGGGGATCCTTTACCTAAATAGGTACCACCTTGGTGGGAAGGTAAACGGCATATCGTGTCTAGTCACGCTGGCCACGTGACCACGGAGGATTGTCTCTGGACAAATGCTAGCTCTGTGGGTTGGAAACGGAGATGAGCACCACCGCCTAGAGTCGGACATGACTGGACAAAACTGTCAAGGGGAACCTTTTATATCTTATACTGTAGTGAGTTTTTCAGTTTTCCTCCAGCAGGTAGAAGAACCAAAGGAATGGTGACTATATAGCAAGGAAATAAAGAAGGAAAGAGGAAGGGAAAAAGGGAAAATGTCAGCAGATAAAATTAGGAGGCCAACAGTTGTTTGCAAAGTAGTTGTATCCCTCTTTAAAAACTCACCCACATCTGCGTTGGAATGTGATGGTTGGTTTGTCAGGTGGGACTGTTCTCCTTTACAACTTGAATACCTGTGCCTCATTATCCTTCAGTAAAAAAAAAAACACATCTGTTTTTGAAACAGGATTCCCTTCAGAGATTTGTTTATTTATGGGAATGTCAGGTGGCTTTATGGGATGATTTTATGTTGCAAGCCAGGGCTATTTCAGGCCATCATGCTAACCTATGGGTGCAGATGGTTAACCAGACATTCCAAGAGTAATAATATTGAAGGGTGGGGTGCTTATTTTGGAAAGGAAACAAAGAAAGAGGAACACAGGAGCTTATCTTATACTGAGTCAATCCATGGGTCTATTTAGCCAATAGATACTTTCAGCTCTGACAGGTAGCCGCTCTCCTTGGCGACAGTCCTACCTGGAGATTCCTAGGATTGAACCTGGTACTTCCTGAGGGCAAAGCCCATGTGTTGCCACTGAGCAGCAAAATGAATTTGTATGATTCCTGTAAAGACAAACTATGTTTTGTGATAATCTGAGAAGCTAGATTTGAAGACGCTTGATCTGACTTTGTGTAATAGGGTTTGTGCTTGCCATGAGTCACCTGCATGTCTGAACTAATAAAGCATAATTACAACTGTTGCTCTGCCTCTTGAGGCTGCTGCACTGTAGAAATGATAGTGATGAACAGAAGGAAGGCAAAAAGGGGTCAAGCAGCCCTAAACCATGGTTTGTTAACTTGTAGTTTTGAGAGTTCAAACTATGGTTTGGGTGAACCATGGGATTGTATGATGTCTGAACTAAGAATGTGAGGAAATGCAGCAGAGTTTAGCTAACAAATGTATTTGCAGCAGACTAATTGCCATCTCTTGTTCTGTTAGGGCAAGTATCAGCAAGGATCCATTTTATGATATGCTGGCAACCAGAAAGAGAAGAATTGCTAATAAAAAATAGCAAAATAAAAAGAAAAGAAGGAGGACTGTTGTGGATCTGCCTAATTCAAATTGCTAAGGGATCGTCAAGCCAAGATAAAGTTAGAAGTAATCAAGCCTCTTACTGGAAATGTGGCCGCCTTCCTGTAGTATCTAACCTTCCTGTGCCTGTTGATCACATGTATTGCAAGAGATACTGGAAGAAGCTTCAAGCCCATGGACTTAACGTGAACTTAAAACTTGAAAGCCTTATGTGCCGTTTTTGATGTGCGACAGTGTTGCTGAATGGGAGAAGGTATGTCGTAATCTGCCCTTCTCTTATTCTTTGGAGCCTTTGCCCTGGATTGGGACTAGTGACTAAATCCAGCATTTACAGTTAGCAGATCATCCCCATTTCCTTTCCTCTTCACAGAAGAATTCTCCTTTCTTCTTCTTGAAACCATACACACGCCCTTGGCAATTCAGAGGCCTTTTGAGTGCTGATAATTTTGTATACAGCTCACATCATGTCTCCTGAGCTTTCATCATTTAGAAGCTACCAGTCTGGAGGCTGTATGTTCAGCAGACCTCCTTCTCATAAACAGCTGGCCGTGTACTGAAAACATGAAGCTTTCAAGGATGAAAAGAATTATAAACAGGAGCTTCAGCAGTATCAGTGTAGCTTATCTGTGATTCTTAGATGCCTTGGAAATGCCTTAGAAATGCACTGTTTATCTTTTCCAGATGCTAGCCAGAAATGTCTGGTATAATTCATTATCTTATATTTTACTAAAGACATTCTGCAGACGAAAGTCATTTTGATAGATAACTGAGCAGCCTCATTATGAGCATCTCTTATGTACAGAGCCACTGGTGTACGAGGACCATGGAGCACTTTCTTTCTCACAAATAGCCCCCATTCCGGTTCAGTAGTTGCCTCTGTTTGCATAGAATTTGATAAGCGTTATTCTGCAAATGGTAATGGGCAGGGGGAAGGGACATTGCATTTTCTTAAGACTCCACTTTGCAGTATCTCATAAAGAAACATTTTTTTAAAAAAATGAAGATGTGTGAGTAGAACTGTGCAGGATAGCCAGCTGAGCATTATGCAAACTATTTGGACAGTTTTCGAAGCTTCATGTTTTGTGAAGCTGTGAATGAGTTTCTTGTTGCCTGTTGGCTTTGCCACCAATAGTGGCTTGCATTATTGTTTCCGCTTAGCTTCAACCCAGAAAAGTCTGGCATAACATGTTGGCTGATCAGCCAGGATGATCGAACTCTTCTCTGCATTGGTCCTTGTGTAGCTGCTGCACCTCCTTTATAGCCTCTGTTTTTTCCTTTGTTTATTCTCTCAGCTGATGCTTCTGCCTTTCACCTTGCTTTATGTTGTTGTTGTTTAGTCGTTTAGTCGTGTCCGACTCTTCGTGATATGGACCAGAGCATGCCGGGCCCTTCTGCTTTATGTAACCTTCCCCTATTTCTCTCCCTTGTGATTCTGCTGCCTACTTTCCACATCTCTGACAAAAAGCCTCAGGATGCAAATGGCAGGCATGAGTGTACATCTCTTGGTGGGGACGTTTGCCAAGAGTGTTTATAGGGAGCCGGACGATTAGCTCCCCATATATACTGATGGCAGCCCTTCTGTGGCTGAAACGCCACAAGAATTAAAGTAGGGCCGGCCCATTGCATTTTCATAATTAGCAGAACGACACAAATCCCCTTCAGTTGCAGAGCCCATGAGTATAAATCAACGGACCAACGGAAGCCACATTTATCTCTTTCCATAGCTACCGGGTGTAAGATTTTGTGTGCAATCTCTCTCCATGCCCTTGTAGGCTGAAACAACACACACCCTCTCATTCTATTTCAACAGCCCTGCCTTTCCCCACTGTCTGCATTGTCCTGGGAGAGCAGCCTTTTTCAGCCACCAAACTTTCCCTCTTCCTCCACATGCTGCAAACTGGTCTTGCTCCCATACCAAGTTTACTACATCCATCTCATTTCCATTGATGTTTGTCGCTGAGTGTATCTGCTTTTAGAATGATCATATTTATAAAAATTATCAAACAGATATTGTATAAATTGTACTGTATCTTTGGGATGTACAGGTCTCCTCACCCCCCCACCTATCTTCAATTCTTTTGATCTTGTCTTTCTATAAAGCCTTCCATAGTGTCTCCTCTTGGTTATTCTCCTTCTGCTTCAAGAAAATGGAATTTAGAGGTAAACTGTAGGCTCTTATTTCCTTTTCTGAGACACAAACATTGTTCATGTGAGACGGGACTACGTAGTATACCTTGGCCCGTGCCTCATTTTGGTCATCTCAATTGCTCCACAGGATTTCACCCTAGAATCTAGCAGTTTCACAAGCATCCTACATATATTTTACTAGGTCTCGCCCAGCCCTACATTTTGCACGTATGAGTTAAGGAATCACAGTAGACAGACATAAACAAAGGAAGAATTAGTCGTGTTTTAAAATCATCCGTTTTAAAATCCTCTCTTAGCACAAAGTGTGTAAACAGTAACAAAGATGCGCTGTAAGGTTCTTGCTTAATTGCAGAGTAGCACCCTTCCTATGTGTACTATATAGAATGTTTGCAGATATTTGTAATAGTATTAGCAAGAATCAAAACTGGGGCCAGAACTTTCACTAGCCTTAAGGCCAGTAAAACAAACAAAAGTTTGTTGCAGGAATGGCTTGTGAAGGCTTCTGGCTACTTCAGGTACTACCTTTATGCAGATAGAACACTCTCCGCTTCAGCTTTTAGTCTCGGCAGCAGTATCCTTAACAAACTTATTTTGAATCCCAAAAGCAGACAGCCGTGGGGTAGTGAGTGGCCTTCAAATATCAGCAAATGATATTTGGGTGCTTCTGTAGCAGTCGGTTCAGTCGGTTGTGTTTGCTTCTGTACCATTTACAGCAATTGTTGCATGGGATTGTCTGATCATTATTTTTGCCCAGTGAATTAAGAAGTCCTTTTGTACATTGCTCTGTAGGTAAGAGCCACGTTGGCTTTCCGTGGGGGCAGCCAGGCACTCTTGAGAAGCAAAGCATCCTTCTAGGAGTCTCCCTGCACCTGCTCCCCCACCCCCAATATCTCCTGTTGCTTCTCACAGTAAGAACTGTGAAGAGGTTAAACTTACTGCAGCTCCTGCCCAGATTTTTATTTCCCCCAGTGCTGCATTTCGTACTTCGTAAACTCTGGGTTTTGAAGGGGAAGTTATAACAGCCTCTTAAGCTGAGCCAGCCTGACTTTGGGCTGAATCCTAGTGAGGAGAAAGAATAAAATTGTCTTGGGGAATGTCCGTTAACCTATTGAGTGGCTTTACAATACATGGTACAAATCTGTATAAACTGGACAGCATTTTAGACTTTCCATTAAAAAAAACTTTTTTTAAAAAATGTACAACCTATCCTGCCAGATAAACTTAGTGGAAGACAGACAGATCTGGCAAGGAGGTCACACTAGCCCTCTTCAGGTGCTATAAATGCTGATCCTAGGAGTCTGCTTGATGGCAAGTTCCTGCCTTGTTTGGTCTTCACTGTTGGGTCTGGAGAGAAGGATCCTCCTTGTGTTTACTCTCTACACCCAAACAGGAAGCTCTCTTCTTCAAATGTGGGGCTGAAATGCAAGAAAAGAAGGGAAGACTAAGTGCTTCTCAGGCATGTCTGCAGCATCAGCATTTATAGCATCTCAGTAGGGCTCCTGAGCCTGTCTAGGAAAGAAAAGATCCAGCTCTGGAAAAAAAAAAACACCTTCTCACCATGACTCACCCTCCTTTCTCTCGTTGAATATAACCATGGCTCGGTATGCATTTTGGGAGGTTGTGGTCCCTTCTGTAGTTGCACTCCTGTGTCGTAAGCATAGTGTGGGTGGGATGTGAAATCTACAGTCCATCCGCATCTGACGGGCTACATGTTCCCTGCCATTTTCTTTGGCACTGAGGTATGCCATGGCTGAGGGGGAGAAAGTGTGTTTCTCAGGTGGGCTCCTGGTGTCAGGAAAAAGCTGGGTTGTATCTGTGCTGGCCCTCTTAGGCCCAGATCTGCTGCAAACTAATGTGTAGCTAACTTTTTCTCTTTCTGTATTTTCTTGGAGAATGTTTCTTATTGACATTTAAATGTAAGGTAAATTGTATATACTGTACATCTATGTATTATGGATTTTGAAAGTTTGTTATTCTTGTATGCTAACTGATTGCATGAAATATTCTGTATCTGTGTTATATAAATACCTGTTGTAATCTTGTATAGCTATTTTAAATCCACTGCAGGTATTTAGTTAACAAAATACACTGCAGTGATTCCATTATCACAAAATAAATCTATGAATTCCACAACAGTGTAGCATTCCTGGTTTAAAAGTTACACACAGGGAGGCTTGAAAAGCTTTTGCCTCAGAGGAACAGGCCCCCCGTGGAACATTCTTCTTAAAAGAGAGAGATTCTAGTTTAAAGATGGAGCTGAGCAACGGCTGTGTTGAGGGATTTTCTCTGGGCTGATCCCGGCCCCGAAACACACAGACACCTGCTTCCAGGTAAAAAATTATCCCTGCAGGAAGGTGGTCCTGGTCCAAGCTTACTTTGTGTGTTATCTTCCTACAGGAATGTTTGTTAAAAGCTTCCTGCTCCACAAAAGATTGTCCAGTCACAAGTGTGATAGTGTAATCTAGCACCTCTGCACTCTTATGTTGTTATTACGTGCCCACACTGCCTAGGTTGATGGGAGTTGTAGCTGAAACAACATATAAGACTAAGTCCAGTGATGGTCCCAACAGGAATAAATCTGTTGAAATTAGTGGAATATGCATTAACTAATAGGTTCAATTAATTCTAATAGGTATACTCTACTTGGGAGTGGGCAGCTTGTGTCAATATACATACCAAGCCATGATTACATCTTAAGTACATTCTCCTTGATTTGTATTTGCAATTAAAACTTTAATTTTAAAAAAACACTAGAGGGGTATTGGTTTCGATCTGGTTAGTCATGTGACTTTCAAAGAAGTCATGCTGTTTACCCATAAACACTTACAGGTAAGTGGAAATAAACATTTACATTACACACAACATTGTTTTGACTTGCTGTATTTATATACTATATAAATTTTACATGCCATATTTACAAGTGGGGCAAGTGCTTTTATCTTTAAAAAAACAAAGATCAAACTTTAAACATCTCTGAACAACACAGCTTGTATAAACCAGACAGATTATTCAGATGAACTGTATTTAATACAGTATTCCCCACTCTGTCTCCTGATGCAGGACCAGTGAATTAAGTGTATCACAGTTTGATAGCATTTCATTATAAAAAAAAAATCACAGTATGAATATGTCTGAAACTAGAAACTTCGAAGGGACAAGAAGACAACTGAGATCCGTCAAGACAAGCAGCACTCTAGTAAAATAAAAACACAAGTTAAAAACAGTTGGAAGGATGGAAACTGCTCTTCTGGCCATTGTCGGACCGATGCAGGGGACCGTTAGCCTTTGGGCTTTCTGCGTTTGTCATTCTTAAATGCTGGCAAGCATCCCTGGAATGACGGGAGCCCAAGCAGCCCGAAAGTGCCACAGAACAGCTGGACGTTCAAGGCAGGCAGCGGCAGGATGGAAGAGGGGAAGAAAGGAGACAGGAAATGAAGTGAATGTAAACTGAGGAAAGGTGTGGAAGAACCAGCCAGGAGAACGAGTGGAAGAAGAAAAGCAAGAGAAGGCCACAAGATGGGCAAGAATTCGCGAAAGGAAGCGGCCTGCATAGGTAATAAAGGAAAGCCCAGCCAAGTGAGCAAGGGAGACCAGAGTGGGGAAATGGGATTGGGGAAGGCGGGCAGTTGCAGGAGACGTAACCCTGCCCACCCGACATCTCAAGGGCAAGACAACGAGCCTGCCTGCTCAAAACACCCTGCGATGGTCCACAGGTGACGTCCTGGTGGTACGGACAGCCAGCCCTATGCAGAGGAGCAGCCAAAGTGACAAGAGGGTCTTCAGACATGTTCTGAGATACATTCAAAAACTGGCAGAGTCTGAACGTCACGTTTCCCAAAGTCTTAAGACTGGAATTCAACCCCCCCCCCCAAAAAAAACCACACAAAAAAACAAGTTGAGTTTCTAGTAGCAGACATCACAGAACAGATGAAGCTCTTGGAGAAAAAAATTCCTAGTTGTGTGTGAATTCTTTTTAAATAATTCTTTAAATTAAATAGAGACTATCAGTTGCAGCTTGATAATTCGGTGGTGTCCTCGCGCCCCTTTGCACCAGCTCTGTAGACTTGGAGCAACATCACATGAATAACACAATCAAACCTGAGTCTGTAACTAAGCAGCATTTGAGATGTTCTGTTCCAGGGCATTAATTCTAACTGTGACATTTACAGGGTAAATGTTATGATGTTCAGCAGTTGTAGAAAGTTTCCATCCTTTAATTTTCGCTATTGTTTTTGGACTTTTGATAATTTTAAAAAAAGAACGTCTTAAGGTAAAAACTAAAAAAAGGGGGGAAAGGGGTTCCATGGTAAAATCCTGTACAGTATTTCTGAAGCACCAGTTATGAATTAGAGTTAATCGCTTTTCGGTTTATAAATATACTGCAAACTGTGGAGGAACGGCTTCCAGCAGACACTCCGGATCTGAAAGGTAAAAGGGACAAAGTTATTCTTGAATACCAAGATTGGATATAAGCTTCAAGGCTTGCATGCCACATTGCAACAAGCTGTAGCAACAGCGTCACTGTCCACTCCAGTCATGAACCACCAGCCATTTCTGCCCTGCTTTCCTGGTTCCCTGTCTATCCCCTTTTCCTTCTGTGTTGTGTCCATTACATTCTAAACCTTGTGGGCACAGGCCATGTTCTATCTTTTTTTTAAAGTCCATACAGTACCAAGGAACCTTTAAGCACTTTATGTATATGTTTAACACGAGGCTCTGCTAATCAGGATTCTCAGCCGGCTATTACAGTGGTATGACAGAACACTCAAAGATAACAGCACCGCTGGGTATAGCTTTGGTGCAATCATTTATCAGGAAACAGCTGTTTTCTACCTGAACACAGAACACAGGGTGAGCAGATAAGTCTTAGGGTTGTCGTGGCAGCCGCTATGTCCTGTGGTGTCCCAGATGAACCATGACTCAGGACTCCCAAAGGTGGTCACGGTGATTTTTCAAGCTTTAGCTAGGGATCAGGCAAAAAGTGGTCCTCCAGGTGATATTGGACTCCTAAAATTTCTAACCATGTGCTTTGATGGCTAACACTGATGAGAGCTGCAAGACCAGCATCTAGTGGTATTCTGTCCACTCCAGCTTTCCAAAACAACCAAAAGAATGGCCAACACACTTCAGTTTGGAGGTTCCTGCTGGAGGTAACCTCACAAACAGCAAGTATGGTATAGTGCATTGGTTCCCAATCTTGGGTTCCCAGATGATCTTGGACTACAACTCCCAGAAATCCAGGCCAGCACAGCTAGGGGGTGATGGCTTCTGTGACTTTTAGTCCAATCACATCTGGGTACCCAAGGTTAGGAGCCATGGGTAGAGCATCTGAGGACCTTCGGTTTCATCAACTCTGCTCAGTCATGCAGCTCAGTGATTGATGCCAGGTCAGTCTCCACTTCAGTGAGGATATAATGGGGAAGAAGAAATGCCACATGTACAAACTGTACATGTGGGATAGGAATGTAATAAATAAAATTTAGGAATGTAACTGCAGATTGAAAAAAACAGTCTGTTCTAAGGCACTCTGATCAGGAAATCTCAGGGGAGTCACAGAGAAGAAGAAGAAATAAAACTCAAGAAAAGAAGGACGAAAAGTCCTTCCATAAGCACCTCTTGGGAGTTTTGGCCAAGCTTCTTACCTACATTACGATGATCTGTCGAGGGGCAGGAGCCATCCCTGCTGCTACTTTCTATACTCTTTATTTTCTGACAAACGGCATCATCTCCATCTTGGTGGGTCCTCCTGCGTTTGACACGTCTGTCCAAAGAAGATTCCATCGTCTCCCAGGTTTTCGGATTGTTGGTTTCCAAACTGGTTGGTTTGGGAAGGGAAGGAAGTGGCATTTCATTGCCGTCTCCGGATTTCCTCGTATGCTTCTTCTTCTTTTTCTTCTTTTTCTTATGTTTATGCTTGTGAGTCTCGGCCTCAGAGCTGGACACAGACGGGTCAGAATCTTGGTGATGCCTGAAGAAAAGCGAGAACAAGTTGACGGGGAAATCCACAGGCAGGAACTGCACTCGCTTCGTACAAACAACAGGCCTTCTGTGAGTGAAGGCGGCCACCCTCGGCACAGAGCCCCTCACACTCCCTAGGGGAAAAGGCTGGGCAAATAAGCTGAGGTGTTGCCCCCTACATGCCATAGGAAGGTTCCCTGGTTTGCAGCCCTGTTCATTTGTTACGGATAGGTCGGCTCTTGGGGGGGGGGGATTTCCCACTGATTCGATTCGCCCTTTCACTGGGCCAGGTGGGAATCCAGTCCACCTCTTCTTCTTGGTTCCACCCCTTCCCTCCCAATCCTTTTTTTTCTCTCTGCATCGTGTCTTTTCACTTGTAAACCTCAGAGCACGGATTGTGTTATTACCGAACTCTGTAAGCCACCGTGGGACACCTTTTCAGCTGGATAATCAGGCAAAACGCTTTAATACAAACAATTTGAGAAGGCATCCCCTTTGAATAGGAAGGTTTGTGACTTGCGCCAGACACATGACTCACTCTGCCGCACGTCACTTCGCTTCTCTTGGCAGCTGCTGTGAGTGTGAGGACATGCTGTTTCACAGTTCTAGGGTTTTTCTTTTTAATGAGAAGCAGTATTAACATTTGCATAGATGGTATCACATAATAACGTTCATCGTGATCTATTCTGTTCCCACTCTTCAGATAGGGGAGAAGGGCCCTCCCCTATCTATTCCTGTTGGAAGTTTCTGAACATCTTCCACAGGCAGCTCCACATCAGAGCCCATCAGAATAACCTATACAGGATGCGACATAACGCATGTGTTACAGTGGCTGGATCCAACATCTTGAGGAACAGGTGTGTTTCTTGTGCAGGACGGTCTAGCATTTACAATGAAAGGGAACTCTCTGCAAGATCATTTCAGCATATTTTACCATGCACATTATATAGACAGTAGAGATGTTGGTTTAATGTTGTGATACAGGAATAGGGGATTCAGCTAAACTCAGGTATGCAGCTTGGGTGTGCCCCGGGAGTCAACCTTGTGCTGGATGACCAAGTCTCAACAGTGTCTGGGACAGCAGTCTTGGTCATCCTGGCACAGGGTCGACTCCAGCACCACACCCAAGCTGCCTAACCTGAGTTTAGTTGAACACCGGTTAACTCCCTGTTCCTGCAATGTTAATCCACCCACACCCAAAGATCCCTCGGTGCTCTTTCTCACTCCATTAGACCAACTTCTCCACCATGCATATAAGATGTAGTCTAGTGTCTGGGACAGCAGTCTTGGTCATCCTGGCACAGGGTCGACTCCAGCACCACGCCCAAGCTGCCTAACCTGAGTTTAGTTGAACACCGGTTAACTCCCTGTTCCTGCAATGTTAATCCACCCACACCCAAAGATCCCTCGGTGCTCTTTCTCACTCTATTAGACCAACTTCTCCACCATGCATATAAGATGCAGTCTAAAATCTGGGACGTGGTGGTGCTGCAGGCTAAACTGCAGAAGCCTGTGCTGCAGGGTCAGAAGACCAGCAGTCGTGAGATCGAATCCACGTGACGGAGGGAGCTCCCATCGCTTTGTCCCAGCTCCTCGCCAACCTAGCAGTTTAAAAGCATGTAAATGCGGATAGATAGGCACCATCTCGGTGGGAAGGTAAAACAGCGTTCCCTAATCACACTGGCAACGGAAACTGTCTTCGGACAAGCGCTGGCTCTACGGCTTGAAAAACAGATGAGCACCGCCCCCTAGAGTCGGACGCGACTGGACTAAAAATGTCAAGGGGAACCTTTAAATCTGCTAAAATGAGAATTCCCTTTCATGAGGAGGCAAGGCCGCCATCCTCCAAAAACAGGGTCTTTTTTGGCTCTCTCTGATCAGAACTTCTGTGTGTCCTCTTCTGGAAAATACAAACAACCCCTGCTTCTTCCTATCATTCTGGAGTTAAGACTGGCTCTCCTACAATGCCTGATTTTTTTAAAAATATGCAACTATTCTGTTGTACTGAGATTGTTTTAGTTTTTGTTCCATTGCTAGATTTTAAAATTTTGCTGGGTAAGCTTGATTTCTGGAACATGGAAAACAGACTCATACTGATTTGTGCCACGCCAGCTATTTAGACTAGCAGCTGCCTCTCAAGTTCCAGGTGGTCTCACCACTAGAAATACAGAACCTAGAATCTGCATGCAGAAATGCTTGACCACCAGAGGGTAACCTGTCTTACTTGTGAGTATCAAATCCTCTGGAACATGGGAAACGGCTTTATACTAGTCCAATTATTTCACTCGGGAGCCCCAGTTTACTCTGAGTGAGAGCAGATTGCTGGCGTCTCAGGCACAGACCGTTCCCACTGTCTGCAACCTGATCCTTTTCCATGGATGTGTTGGTAGCTGAACTAGCAACAAAACAATCCACTTTTCCATGAAGCGATTGGCTTTCATGCTAAATGAAGAACTTCTGGATAGCTCAGTGGGAGTTCGATTCCCCCACTGGGCCTCCTTGACAGCGGTTGGGCTCAGTGATCCACTGGGTCCCTTCCAGCTCTGCAGTTCAAAGGTTACTAGATAGCGGTATACTGTCATTAAATAAAATAAAGGATGTGCCATACACAAGAGGCTCTGGACAGTTTGGGAAAGAGTAACTCACTTCCCAATCAGGATTCGTAAACCCAAGTGAAACGACAACCCATTTTCACCTTTCCCCACCTGTTTTGTCGTTACTGACCTGTAATCTTTTTCTCGGTATTTATCTTTTAACTTCTTCTTCTTCTTCGACTTCTTGTGCTTCCGCCCCTTTGGCTCATCAGGAGATTCACTGTGAAAGGTCTTTTGGCGTTTTTTTCCTGGGGTGCCCTCACTGTCCTGGCATCTCCTTTTCCTCCCCTGGTCATGAGTCCATCTGCTCTTGTAATAATCATATTTATACGGGCTACTGTAAACATGACTTGACCTGCTATAGTCTCTCTCACAATGAGTGGGTTTTCTGTCCTGGTTATACCTGGGGACGTGGGAAGAATAATAATAGTTGTAAGGCCTGCAGCCATCCCACCGCCTCGGCGGGTCTTGGTAATACCTTTCTCTACTCCACGACCTTTCTCCCTTCCCGTAACAATGCCTGCTTCTTTCGGGCTCCGTTCTCCCTCTGCTGCGTGATCTGTAAGGGGGGTATTTTCCCGTGTTCCTCCCAGGATCGGGGCTACACGGTGATCTGTGATTGTTTGCATTGTGATATGAACGCCGATAATGTTCCTGGGTCCTTGGCTTCTCTCCGCTGTAGGAGCACCTCCTCTTCTCGTGGTGACCCTCTGGCTGGCTCCAGGCGGCTGCCACCTCCTCTTCCCCCTCACTTTCCGAATGCCTTCTTTTTGAACGATAGTGCTCTTTGTCTGTTTTTTTGGAGGTGCAGACTTTCTCCTTTGAGGGAGAATGGGGCTTTGGCTCTTGCCTTTCCATGCTCCCTTTGAATGGTTCACCCCTTTCTCCCACGTCGCTGTTTTCCTTTGAACTCTCTCCAGGGGGCTCCAGCCTTCTGGCAGAAGAACGGTCGGGAGCGGGGACTTCTTCGTAGCTTTCGACGCCAGCCTGCGTCTCCTGGCAGGTCTCTGCCATTTTTAGCGTGGCTGGCTTCTGAGAGCTCCCTTCGCCGTCGGACCTTGGCACAGGGCTTTGGGCTCCTTTTTCGGCGGCTTCTCCGGTGCACTCAGGACTCTTTCCCCAAGCGACCGTCCCTTCTTTTGGTCCTCTCGTCTTCTCCGGGTGGTCCTCCATGTTGTTCTCTCTTGGGATTTCCTTCCCAGTTTCCAGGGAACTAGAGGGAGGCTCGTGCTCCCTGCTGCTCTCCAGAGACGGGCTCTCCGTTTCAGGGGCAAAACTTTCACAAAAGTCTTCTGTCGTAGAAGTGATTTCGGGGTCCGAAGGGGCCAACGGGTGCAGGGGGTTACTGGAGGGGGTAGTGGGAACCTCTTCAGAAGAGCCATTATCTTCTGCCTTTTTTTCTGTCCCACTGGCACTGCGCATAAAACAGAGAGATCCGTAACTGGCCAGAAAGATAATTACATGGCAAGACAGAGCTGATAACAAACATAGGGTAGTGCTGTTTCCTGAATCCTGGAAAACCTTGGAAGTCATTTTTGTTCAAAGACACATTTCTGTGCCACAAACACTCTACGCATGTGAGAAAGTGGGTCTCTGTCTGTCCCGCAAAAGGATACACTCCCCAAAATGCCAAAAACTAGTCTTTATGGTCTGACAGGGCATTTATGTACAAGCATTCTCCTTGAGTAAAAGGTTGCTGATCTGGCCAGTGTCCCAGTAAAATGTGTACAGTGTGGTCTTGACTTAAGAACGGCTTGAGTTAAGAACATTTTGACTTAAGAACCACTCTCATAGGAAAATATTGACTTGACTTACATACTTAGATTTGAGTTAAGAACTGAAAAAAACCACGTGGGAGGCAGGGAAAGTGCAAAATGTGAACTTTCAGTTAACTGTTGGCCAGTGAAAAGGGTGCCCGTCTGCTTCCTCACTCCTCCCAGCGTTTAGAGAGTGGATTGGGAGACAGTCTTCAGACTGCCTGGTACTGCCTGGACTGTATTTTCCCTGCCTTCCCTGAACCTTTCTTGACCTAAGAAAAAAAGAAACAAAATATCCCCCTTTAGTGGTCGAAGGCAGAATAGCAGCTTCCCATTAGTTTCTATGGACGGAAACGAGCAGATACGGATCAAATGGTTTTCAATGCATTCCTATGGGCAATGCAGATTTGACCTGAGAACTTTTTGACTTGAGAACCGCCTTCCAATACGGATTAAGTTCTCAAGTCAAGACCCCACTGTATCTTATATTTCAAAACAAATCTCACATAGTTCACTAGAATGTTCTTTTTTTTTAAAGCAGCTTAAGAACACAGCCCCCAAAAGACAGGCCTTTTGCTTAACCACCGATATGTACTACTCTGTCACCACAATCTTCATCTGAGCGCACCGTTCCCCCTGTGCCACCCACTCTTCTACCAAGAAGCATCTTTAGAAAATTTCATTACGCAACAGAACTCTACACCAAGCCATTGGGATTAAGTCTTTTACTGGGGCTGAAGTCTTCAACTTAAAAAAAAAATAAATAAAAAACCTGATTTTAAATAGTTAAAACTCATTTCATTACTTACATTTTTTAACAAAAACGAGTGCTGCATTTATTTTTAAAATTACTATGGCACAGTAAGCAAAGATTTCTGACAGACAAACAGATAAATCTGAATTTCTCATGGGGTGATGCAGGTGTGTGTGTGTGTTGGGGGAGGGGACACCAAATATATGTAGGCTTTCCCAGCCTGGTTTTCTCTCTCTGCCACGGGCCACGCTTTCTTCTTCTGATGTCATTTGAGGTCCAACATGTCTGGGGGACATTAAGTTGGGAAAGACCGCAGTAGACGGAAATAACAAAAGGGTTGTGCACCGAAGTTCCCATAAAGCAGTAACATCGGAATGTGAAACTACAAATTAGGTAAGACAACCCAGAATCACTCCAAGCACAGTTTTGAAGGCCTGATGAAAATCTTTTCAGTGAGAGACAGATACGACCATGTCCTTCTTAATGAACATGTATTTGGAAAAAGCAATGGTTGTTTTTTTACCTTATATTCCCAGCCAAGCTCTTCAGCTGACTGTATCTGAAAGAGTCTAAGATTCTGTCTTCAGGGACTGGCAACAGAGCTGCAGACACACCCTATCAATTAAAAATAGAAAAAACAGTTAACACACAGAAGGAAAGGACTAACCAAAACAACAGACTGCTCTAGATTTCTGTGAAGAACGTAACATCTAAACCCCTTGCATCAGGAACACACAAAAGAGTTAAGAGCTCTCTAGTTCAACACAGTCACCAAATGGAAGCAAAATCCATCTCTCTCAGAAGGCGGCCGACCACTGCTCCGTCTGGTCCACTATAGTTTCTACGGGGGAAGGAGTCGTTTGACCCTCTAGAGGCTGCTGGACAGTGACTCCACCACTCCTTGTTTGGCTATGCTGGTTTGGGCTGATGGGATTTGGAGTCTGTCCAGCAACATCTGGAGGATTTCATGTTGCCCCCCCCCACTTGGTCTACCGTTCCCCAGGGCTTTGTACAGTCCCCGCTGGGGATTTGATCCGGGGCCACCTGCGTGTCAAGCGTTACTGCTCGACCACGGAGCAATGGCCCCTCCGCCACAGAAACACCAAAGATCACCCCCAGGTCTAAAAAGAGTTGTGAGATAAGTAATGTGTATTAATTCTTTCCCAAAATACAAATGTAGTTTTGTAGTGTGTTAAAAACATGCTATTAAAGGAATCTTTAATGTGACTAGAAGTTGTGTATATCTATTATGTTTATGGTTTTGAAATTGCTCATGTTGAATATCTAAACTGTCCAGAGTGGCCTGGCAGCTAGATGGGCGGTATAGAAGTCCAACCGTCCAACCAACCAACTGACTGACCGACCGTCCAACCAACCAACCGAAGGCAGTCCTTCATCCTGTTCTGATGGCTACTCTCTGAGCAGGTCTCTTTGCTACTCCAACTGCCCTCCTTCTCTCATATCTTACTCATTGTTGCTTACTATTTGATTCTTAATTTGCAAATTGGCTTATTATTTATTTACCTTTCTTTTCTATACCTAGATCCAACCCTTCCTTTCATTTCAAGCCTTTTTGAGGTGGGTTACGCTCAGGCCTGTGTGATACGCCGAAGATCAGAGCAAACTACGGTTCACGTGGGTCTGGTTTTAGCTCTCCTCAGTTCGGGTTGAATCAACACTCCTTGCCCTATACCATGCTAACACAAATGCTTCTAGATTTGTGCAAACCAAACTTAACAAAGAAACAAGAAGTAGCCAGGTTGGCCACCAAAAAAAGGGAAGTCTCCAAATCTATTTTAATACAATATTATCAGATCAACCCACCTAATAAAGGGACTACCCTAGCTTTTTAATTTCATTTACCATTGCAAAAGAAGATCTGTATCACATGACACATCTTATTAGCCTCCATATGGAACAGATTAGTATCCGAACTCCTACTGGTGGATGGATTTTTTAAAAGAGGCCCAGCAACATAAACATTTTGTCTCATTTCCCCTTGTCTGGAAGAGTGTCTGAACCACCACAAAACACAGCCATTCTAACAAGCCTGCTGCCACAATATTAAAAATATACTGGGGAGAAGCAATGCTATCATTCTTTCCTCATGTAGGACCCCCTAATTCTACCTGTATGTCTCTCAATTAGCCAACTCTTGGGGTTGTGTGCTGACGCGTTTGAAGCCAACAAGGGAGCCCGAGAAGCAAGCAGGATGTATCAACGCACTTGGGTGAAATCTGAAGTAGGCAAAAATAAAAAAAAACTCTAGAAGGGGAACAGTGAAGACGGCATGTTTGGCTCTCTCCAGGAGTTATAGGATACTGAGTGTTTGTTGGAAAAGAAAATCAAGAGGAGGAGAGGGATGGAGGTGGAGAAGACTGGCCGGTTTGTAGAAGCCTCTTCAGAACCTGCATGTATTGAACTACAACTGCCATAATCCCACTGTCTGTTGTCATTCTTTCTGAGGACTGCACCAGATTGGGAAAGTTGTAAGAGGATATGGCAGGACATGGAACCTGGAACATTCCTGTGAACTAGTGACACCACCTTGCACTGTTGCGTTATAGGTCCCCTTTTCATTCCTAAACATGAAAAGTGTGCTAGAGCTGTTACTGTGCTGTTTCCTAACTTCTATCTGAAGGGTCTCTGATGAGGACACAGGATGGCTGTATCCACCAAGCAAATAAAGCTCACACACTGTATCCAGCACCCCTCGGTTTTGAGATGTGAAGAATCAGGCAGTTTTGTATATAATTGCTTCTCTCTGCAGCCCATGAGGCAAGAGACTGTACACAACCCCAGAGTCTTGTCATGGATAATAACTAGAGATGGGCACGAATTAAAAAACAAATTGCAAAATGTGTCAAAAATTGGCAAAAATTCATTGATTTGTATTCATCCAAACCCCAATCTTCACCAGACTTCCAGAGTTTATAGAGGAGAGTCAAGGGGCACTTCTTTGCGACTTTGGTGTCTCTACGAACCTCAGAGCCATTTTATAGAGATTTAAAGCCAAGACAAATTAATGAATTTTTAAAAAATCATAAATTTGTGATTCATCAGCCTTGATGAATTACAATTCATGACAAATCACAATTTTTAAAATTCATGCCCATTCCCCCCCCTTCCCGGCCCCTCAATTTTCATTTCGTATTGTTCACTTATTTTCAGATCAAAAAACATGCTTCTTCTAAAACCAGGAATCCACTGGATGCTGCATTTTGCACTGTCTATTCAGTCCTTGTGCAAAATCAGATGAAAGAAGTATCCACAGCCAGTCAGGTATGTCTGGTGTGAATTCTATCAGCCATGTTAGCGAACCAGAAGGCAGACTTCACAGTGCCTTGAAAACAGGAAATCAGCCTCAGAAATGCTCATGGGATGATCTCTGCTATGCTCAACATTAAATTAAGACTCTCACCTTAATTCAGGATTTGTACTTAATAAACCATGGAAGTAACCTAATTTGTGTTAACCAGTGGTGGGCAATATGTACTCTTCCAGGTGTTGTTAGACTACGACTCCTATCATTCGTCACTACTGGCTAGGGTGATGGGAGTTTGCAGACCATCTGGAGAACTGCCCTAAATTCTCACCCCAGTATTAAACTTTTTGAGTACAGTACCAGTGCAAACTATAAGAAGAGGAAGAGAATATAAGCCAAAGAGGAGTGTGTCTTTCTGAGAATGGCTTCTTCTTAAATCTTAGCTTTTCTTATATGGGACTCAATCTGCCTATGCAGGGTTGCCAAGCCTTTTCATTCATGTACAAACAGGGCCCAGATCTGATTAACCTGTTGCATGAAAGAGGTTTCAAGACCATGTGCCAGGGTCATGCAATTGCCTCTCCCGGTTTGCCTTGGAGCCCCTGCTACATCTCCAAAGGACAAAAGAAGCCACAGCAGGGAGACACTCACTTTTCCGGGCAATCCATTTGCTTTGGAAAACAGGTTTTCTCCCATTTTCACCGGCTTTGCTTGGCAAGCAGAGTCATTGCATATCTCTCCATTTTGTTTAGGGGCCTCGCTGAGACTAACAGACACGACGACGGTAATGTTTTCGGGCGGCTCGTGCTGCGGCGCCTCCTTTTCAGCACTGTGACAGGGCGAACAGAAATTCTCTGAGGGAGTGGCGGCGTTCTCGATTAACATGCCATTGAAGGCTGTGCTGTTGTGGCCGTTCTCCTTCACCAGCCCTTTGGACTCCTCGTCCGAGTCTTCTGAAGACTCTGCTCCGTAAGGGACCAACATGCTCGGGCTGAGTTTGGACTTGCCGTTGACCACCAGCTTGGAACAGGGTTCGCTGGGAGCCGCCGGTTTGGGGACCTGGTTAGCAGCCGATACTGTAGACGCGCTTGAGGTAGATTGCACTGCAGAAGGATTTGAAATTGTGGAGGATGGAGCTGGTTTGTTGAGGTGATCCAAGGTACAGCTGGCGTGAGAGACATTCTGGCGAGCAGGCAGCTTGTTGTTGTGAATACTGATGGTGAATTTTTGCTTTTTGGAAGGGTCGGGTGCCGTGGTGTTGGCAGGCCTGTTCATGGACCAGTTGGGGATGGACATGGCCGGTGGAGCTGAAGACGGCCTGGTTAGGGTGACGTTGCTAGCCACCGCAACCGAACTGCTGGGAGCCTCTTTCATGGTTCCAGTTCCGTTCAGATGATTTGAATTCTGCAAAGAGGAAAAAACGAAAACCACTGAGAAAGTTAAATGTTTTTAAAAATGAGGATTTTATAGTTTTGTGGCTTATTGCTACACATCCCATGTTTGTACTAGCTCCATTCAGAAACCAATCTAAACATTAGTTAAGTTTAACCATAGTTTGCCTGATGTTCTTTATCAACAGTTTGCCTGATATCTGAGGTGATAAGCCACGATCATAGCCATAGTTCCATATCTGAAAGATGATACAATGAGATCTGCAATCAGTTGCCCACGCCAACGTTTGGATTCTAAAAAAATATATGGTTATAACTGTGAGGGTGACCTGGCTATGGCAATTGGTCACCCCACTGGTCAGCAAGGTGACGTAGTGGCACTGCGGGCTAAACCACAGAAGCCTCTGTGCTGCAGGGTCAGAAGACCAGCCGTCGTAGGATTGAATCCATACGACGTAGTGAGCTCCCGTCGCTTGTCCCAGCTCCTGCCAACCTAGCAGTTAGAAAGCATGTAAAAATGCGAGTAGATAAATAGGTACCACCTCGGTGGGAAGGTAACGGCTTTCCGCGTCTAGTCGCGCTGGCCACGTGATCATGGAAACTGTCTTCAGACAAGCGCTGGCTCTACGGCTTGAAAAACGGGATGAGCACCACCCCCTAGCGTCGAACACGACTGGACTAAAAACGTCAAGGGGAACCTTTACCTTTACAGTTTCCTAGCATGCCTGAGCTGAGCCACTGTGAACTGAATATTTTAATCAAGGAATCACAAATTCTGGCTTTAAAGCAAGCAAACACCTCAGGTCTATTTATACTCAAAAGGTTAATGATAATCTTCAGCAGTGACGGGGAACCTGCCCCTCCAGTTCACATTATCATGGAAAGACAAGCACAAGCGATGACTGCTGGATAGCTCAGTGGGTTTAAGTCTCTGGCTGAGGAGCCGGAGGCTGGGAGTTCTCAAGACAGTGGAATTCTCTACTGTGACTTCCTTCACAGGGGCTGGACTGGATGATCTATTCGGGTCCCTTCAAGCTCTGCAGTCAAAGATTTGTATATCTACAGAACTTATGGTGTACCACCCTGGAACAACTGAACAGGCCATATAGGACTGTTTCGAGGATGGAAGGAATATCCTCAGAGCAGGAAATCCCAATTGGTGGCCTCTACCTTCAAGTGACCAAGGCAGGCTGCCTTCCTGCACTTGAGACGGCCAAGATCATTCCCTGACATTCCACTTCAGACTTGGGAAGGCTTACTGGGAAATAACAGTTACAGAACCAGCACCTGTACATTGGGAGATGTTTGAGGAGCAGCTTCTGATGATTTCATATGACAGCTGTTTTCATTCACATCCAACTGACTCGTCAACCCAAAATCCAGATTTTAACTACTATTCTACATACAAACAGTCTGTAAATGTTGTCCTGCTCATGCCCCCCCTGGTATTCTCTCTGCATTGTAACCGGAAGCAGAGGGTTAGAGTAGTGCCACCTTAAAAATTAAGACATACAAAGAAAGCACACGTTCGATCCAGCGAGAAGAGACAATTACCTTAATCATGTGGGGAGGGAGCTGGGGTCCAATAAATCCTGGGGCCGTTTGCTTATTATTGATCACCCGCTGATTAATCACAGGGCGGGGAGAAGATTGCCCTGGAGTATGAGCTGAGTGAATGTGTTCGCCACCATTTTTCATGTCATGGGACCTGAAAGAAACAAGTAAGAACACACCTTGGCCCACATTTGTCAACTAAGCTTTTTTTTTCTTTGTCCAATTCTGTGTTGTCCATGACTCACGCTTGCTCCTCATACCTTTAACCTGCTAAATCTAGACCCTCACCTCTTCTTTAAGAGATTCGAAATGGATGTTTTAGCTTCGCAACCACTTCATGGGCATGGTTAGGCTGAGAGAGAACCACCAAAGGGGAGGACGTGAACCTGCCTTCCAGCCGTATTCAGGCCCAATCCTCTAGCACGGGGTGTGTGTGTGTGTCCCAAACTTGAGTCCCCAGATGATCTTGGACTACAACTCCCAGAAATCCTGGCCAACACAGCTAGCGATGAAGGCCTCTGGGAGTTGCAGTCCAAGAACCTCTGGCGACCCAAGGTTGGGAACCATGGTTCTAGCAAGTGCAACAAAAACATATGGGGTCTACTTTAAGGCAACCTTACCCATTGCTTTCCTGTACAGTGTGCAAAAGAAAAAAAATTAAAATAGGCATTTACTAAAATCCTTTCTGATTTTCTAATTTCCACCCCCCCACCCACCCAGCAGCCAATTAAAGCTGTGGAGTGAGGGGGTGGGAATTCAGAGCAGGGCGGGATATCAAGAGAAGAGAGCACCTTCAAGAAAACCGAGCCTTACCTGATGTAAAACAACACATAGGCTTGCTGATTCAATACTGTTCTGATGTCACTGTTGGAGACAGTAGAGTCATTCATCTGGTACCACTGCCCATTACTGGCCTAAAAGACAGAAAAAAACAGGGGCGGGGGGAAGAAAAAGAGTTGCTACTGTATTTAAGAGGAGCCACAGAACATAATTTTTTTTTTTTTTTTTACTAAGCATTGAACTGAATGGTGCATCTCTACTCAAAGGCTTTCTCGGGTGAAAGGAACAGACTGGGTCCGTTCCACTGCAGCTTTTGCAACTTGAACCTGGCTCTTTAGTCGTTTCAGGGGACAGTCTGTACAAGACGCTGGCTCCTCTTGCTGGACTTCGGAAGCCCACTTTTAAATATTGACAGCTGCGATTTTGCTTCTGAAGGACCTTTCTGTGTTGAGACTAAAAGGGCCCTGTTCTGTGAAGGCACCTCCTGAAGGGCTGATCCCGTAAAGATGATGATAAAAGGACTCCTTTTTGTCTCGGCCAAATCTGCCCTACAGGGTCCACTATAGGCATGTTCGCCGTCTATATTAAATTGGAGAGAAGAAGCGCTGTCTAGAGCTTTGGAATTCAAAAGTCACGGGTATACAGATGACATGCAATTCTGCTTCTCCTTTCTATCGCGACCGAAGGGAAGTTATAAAAGGGACGGCACCACAAAGAGATGAAACCCTCCCTCCCCAAATGACTGCTAAGCACATCAAGGAGGCGCAAAGACAGAAAGACAAGCATCCCAAAATAAAATGACTATCTTGGGAAAGGTTCATTGGGAGTGGGGAGGGGAAGGAAGGGATTCCTGAGATGTTATTGTTGAGATGCCCTAGGAAGACAGAGCTGAAGTGGCATCACCCATATTGACCCTACATCACATAACAAGGACAATCAACTTGGGCAGATTTAAGAGATAATGAGACAAATGTGCAGAAAGCTATCGATGGCTAATAGTCATGATAGATTCATCTTGTCTCCGGTTTCACTCGTGATATGCAATAGGATGCCAATAACATTCGTGTCCTGCTTCTGGGCTACCTCAAAGCAAACATCTGGCCCACTTGGAAACAGAGTGCTAGATAGATCTTCGGTCTCATTTACTACAGCTCTAAAGCACCAACCAACGTCTCCCCGAGAGTTTTTTATACCTTTGCTCAGCAATATTTACTGATTTAAATGCCTTCACCTTTTCAGTGGGAAAACTACTGTTATAGAAAGGGCACAGCTATGCAAGGAATTTCTGAGCTAGGAAGATGTTCTCTTGGGTCTTTAAACAAACACTAGGGTCTGTATTAAAGAGAAAGAGAATAGAACTATTATTAAAGAAAAGTAAAGTTGATATTATTTACCTGCAAGAGACACATCAACTAAAGGATGGAGTCAATGAATTGAAATTGCAAAATATACATATATATGAAAAAACATTTGGGACTTCTAAATCTAAAGGGGTAGTAATATTAATATCTAAACATTGCGAATTTGTAGTAAAAGAAGTAATAAAAGATAGTAATGGCAGATATTTGATAATCCAAGGTCAAATGGGGGAAGAAGAATATACATTAGTAAATGTGTATGCACCGAATATGAACCAAGGAGAATTTTACAAACATGTGATTAAAGAAATGGAAAAGGTTAGGAAACGATATGTGATTATGGCAGGAGATTTCAATATGGTCTTAGCTAAGTTGA